GTCCTGGTTCTCTGCTCAGTCCCCTTTTTGAACCGGCGTATGGGCGACTTCCCATTGCTCCAATCGCCAGCCAAAAGGGCCCCCGGAGCGGTGTATTTTGTACGGAGAACTGTGGCTCCGGGGGCCGTCTAAGCAGATTCGCGGGGCAAAGCAGCGGCGCTGGCCGGCACAGCCGCGCTGGCCAAAACAGCCGTGCTGGCGACCGTGGAGCACCTCCGCCCGGGAATTTCCTAGTCTGTGGGCAATAAAAACGCGGCGTCCACTCACCCTCTGCGCTTTAACTGGGAGCTGCAATCCTGAGCTGTTCCTAAACGGCCATCTTGGATCGTCCTTCGGTTTTACTAGTTTCTGCTCCTGATAGTAAATAAAGGTGCCTATTCTCACCAATACTTAGCTATTTTCCGTACTTGAAAATATGCGATATTATTAAAATTACAGATATGTGCCAATCTGGCTGAATTTCCCCAATTGCTAGGTTAGTCCTAGGTTGAGCGTATTCTCATGTGATTATTCACTGACCTTTTACATTTTATCCTCTGGGAATTGCCTATTATTATTCTTTGCCCCATCTCTGTTGGGTGCTTTGCTTTTGTCATATTGACTTACATAAGTCTTAAAATTATGAATACTTAACTTTGTTACATATATTTCCCACAGTTTGTCCCTGTTTCTTTAAGATTAATTATGGGGCTTAGCCATAGAGAAGTGTGCAGTGTTGATGAGGACAAATTTATCAGTCCTTTAGAGTTTTATCTTTCTGTATTAATATCTTATTTAAGAAAGCTTTTCCTATCCCAGAGTCTCAAATATATTCTCTCATATTTTTTAAACTAGTTTGTTTGTTTTTTTAAGAGATGGGGTCTCACCATGTTGCCCAGGCTGCAGTGCAGTGGCTATTCACAGGCATAATTATAAGGCCCTACAGCCTCATACTCCTGTGCTTAAGTGAACCTTCTGCCTTACTCTACTGAGTAGCTGGGACTATAGGCATCTGTTACCATGCCCAGCCAAAATTTTAATTACATAGTTTTATATATATGTAAAATACACACACACACACACACACACACACACACACACGCACACACACACACATTTGAGATGATGTCTTGCTTTGTCCTCCAGACTGGAGTGCAGTGGCTCAGTCTCAGCTCACTGCAACCTCCGCCTCCTGGGTTCAAGCAATTCTCCTACCTCAGCCTCCTGAGTAATTGGGATTACGGGCACCCGCCATCATATCTGGCTAATTTTTTTTTCTTTTTTATTTTAGTGGAGATGGGGTTTCACAATGTTGGCCAGGGTGGTCTCAAACTCCTGGCCTCAAGTGATCTGCCCAGCTCAGCCTCCCAAAGTACTGGGATTATAGGCGTGAGTCACTGTGCCCAGCCAAATTACATAGTTATATTAATAATTTTCCTCTTAAAAACTGAATGTCAGAGATAAAGCTAAAGTTTCATTTGAGCACCAGCCCAAATCCTGGGCTTTTTTTCTGCTCTTCTTCAGAGGTTCTCTGGTTATATGTGTATCTTGCCGAATTTTTCCTATGTTATTAATACAAATATATGTAGCCACAGATATTATAGCATGTCACTCAGCCTTTGGCTTCGTTTGCATTAATAGTATTATATACATCTCACTCTGCAACTTGTCATTTTCACTCTGTAGTATGTCTTGGAAATCTATCTATGTTCTTATCTAAAAAATGAGCTCAGTGTTTCTCAGTCTTGGCATTTAGGTAGCATTTATTTTTCCATGCAGTACTGTCCTGTGAACTGTAGGACATTTAGCATCCTGTGCCTACTAGTACCTTATGACAGTCAAAAAGTAAATCTTTCATAATTTATTGCTAGATGCCTCCTAGGAGGTAATACCATACCTCATGAGGCCCCCCTTTTAAAAACTGCAGAGTAGGCTGGGTGCAGTGGCTCACACCTGTAACCCCAGCACTTTGAGAGACTGAGGCAGGTGGATCACAAGGTTAAGAGTTCAAGACCAGCCTGGTCAACATAGTGAGACCCCATCGCTACTAAAAATACAAAAAAATTAGCCAGATGTAGTGGTGGGTGCCTGTAATCTCAGCTATTTGGGAGGCTGAAGCAAGGAGAATCTCTTGAACCTGGGAGGTGGAGGTTGCAGTGAGCCAAGATGCACCATTCTACCGCACTCCTGCCTGGTTGACAGTGTGAGACTCTGTCTCAAAAAAACAAAAAACTGCAGAGTATTCTATATTAAGTGAGTTCATTTATAATGATGAATATTGTTTGTTTGTTTGTTCAGTGATATACCACAGTTCAGGTAGCTTCTTACACAGATAGAGGCAATATTGCAGAGTAGTTCAGAGCATAGGCTGTGAGCCTAGGTTACCTGGGTTAAATCCTGGATCTGCTGTATGCTATTGATGAGTCATTGGATGAGTCACTTATTGTCACCAGGCCTCAGTTTCTTCATCTGAAAATTGGAAGTGTCACAGGATCCTTAGGATGTCACTTTTCCAGCTGGAAACCTCTTTGGCCAGTGGCACCTTTGCCAGAGTTTTGCTCAGGCCTACTTGGCGGCCCATCCACTTGGCCTGGCAGGCTATACTCAGCTCACACTACCAGCCTGGATCCCATGCCTGCTAAGGGTGAGGCAGGCATGAAGTGGCCAGAGGTGCTTGAGCGAACACACGCAGGATCCGGCCACTGTGCACAGCTAGGTGCGCCAGCTGCTGCGGCAGGCCAGACAGCTCCAGGTGCTGGGACGGGCCAGCTCTGCAAGCCTGCAGCTGGATCATATGTACCAGCAACTTCCACTGCGGGGACTCGTGTCTAGACAAGGGGAATGTGGTGGTGCCCGGAAGCTCAGAGATGGCAGAAACTACAAAGCCCCAAAGAGAATATCACAGTCCTGGCTTGGGGAGCCTGTGGGTCTGGGCTCCCTGAAGGGCCACAGCTCATCTCTCCTTCTTGTCACCTGCAGCATGGCAAACGGCGGGTGTGGGTGTCTCAGCCCTGTTTGTGTTGCTAGCTCTTTCAGTCCTGTCATTTGGCGTTTCCAGGGTTCTTGTTCTGAAAGAATGAGGTACATGGACAACTGGAGGGTGAGCAAGGTGGAAAGCTTATATTGAGCAATGGAACAGTTCTCTAGTGACCTGAAGTGGGTAGTTTTTTCTGCAGGCAGGTCTTCCCAATGAGTGTCCAGCAGTCAGCACTCAGATGAGATCCAGAGTGGGTATCTTCTTTCCACAGGCAGGTCATCCCAGCAAGTCAAGGAGACCTGAATTGGGTAGCTCCTTCCTGCAGCTGGTAGTGCTACTTGAGTCTGGCTGAGTCCAGGGTTTTTATGGGCTTCGGAAGGGAGAGGTACATGCTGATTTGTCCATGGACAAGCCCAGAGAAGGCACCATAAATTCTCACTCCAGGCCATGAACTCCACCTGTAACTGACACCAGCTCCCAGGCTTCAGGCCATTTCTGGCTTGAATGTCAGACTTCACTGGGGACCTGCCCCTTTCCACCCAGGAACCTGTCTGCCTACTGCCGTTATCAGCATGTCATCCACAACTCCCTGACTGTTTGTGCCAAGGGGGGGGCACCTGCAGACCCACGCTGAGCCACCTGTTTCCCCTTGGCCTTCCTTCTGTGCTTTTTGGCACCCAAAGACCAGAGGAGGCTGATGCAGCAGGGGGCTGGCATATTAGCGCTGCCCCAAGTGTGCACACACCTGGCTGGATCACAGCAGCACCCGGGCTTGGCCACAACTTTGCTCCAAAATCAGAGCACATGATGTAGCTATGCCCAGGAGTTCAGGGCTCTTGCCCTGCCAACTTGGAAGAGGGTAGGGCTCCGCCGTTCCCAACCCATGGGCTTTGTGGACAGCACTGCACCAGCCACACCTCTACCGCTGCAGCCGATGTCTTCACAGCAGACAATGTCTTTGCAGCAGCCACTCTAGATGTAATAATAATACCTACCTCATAGGATTATTGTAAGGATTGAGTAAACATGTATTTGAAACAGTGCCTAGCTTCACAATCAGCATGTTGTAAATATTTCCCATTATTTAAATATTATTATTGTACACATTAGTAGATTCTGAGTTTTGCCCCTTCCGTAAGAATAGATTCCAAGAATTGCTTAATCATTGAAGCGTAAGATTTTTAGTTTGAATAGCTACCAAAATAGAATAGAAACCTAAATGCCTACTGACAGGGAATGGATAAAACTATTAGGGCATGTATAGTAAGAGCTGTGCATCCATTTAAAAATGTTTATGAAGAAGTTTTAATGATGTAAGAAAATACAAGTGAATAGACCAGGATGCAAATCTTTGTAATGTGATCTTATTTATATGAAGAAATATATTATAAATAGAAAGCAGACTAGAAGGAAATATACGGGGTTACTAGTGGATATCTCTAGGTTGTGGGAATATAACACTTGTTATTTTCATTTTTATACTGTTCTAGATTTTCTAACATTTTTTCAATAACCCTGTATTGCTTTTATATACAGGAAAATAAAAACCCAGCATATTGGTATAGTAAATTAAATAAAATTTAATATACATTCCATTTTATGATCTTTTTTTTTGCACTTAGCAATACTTGTAATTTTTAATAAACAAATAACTGGTAAAACCCACAAAGGTCAGAGGGAAGCTTTTAACTTAATATTGCTAAATATCATTTTTATTATTGTCTTATATTTCTGACCTGTAGTTACTTAAAATATACGAAAATATGAAGACAAGTGACCAAAACATGTGCCCTCATTTCTGGTCGTTTCTTTTGGTAGCACCCTAGCAGTCAGTGACTACTCAAGAATTGCTTTGGGTCCTAAACGGGGTCCAACTGTTACTGAAAAGGAGGTGCTGACGTGCATCCTTTGCCAAGAAGAACAAGAGGTGAAAATAGAAAATAATGCTATGGTATTGTCGGCCTGTGTCCAGAAATCCACTGCCTTAACCCAGCACAGGGGAAAACCTATAGAACTGTCAGGGGGTATGTATTATATAATAAATATCCTTTTGAGCATTTCTTTTATGCCTGTGTAATTAAAGAAAATACTATTTGAAAGACATTTGGAAGTAAGGTTATGTATCTACCATACTGTTATCATATTTAAGAAAGTGAATATCATCTAATAAAATCAGCTTTTCTCCAACAGTTCTCAAAATGTCTTCAGTTGCTAGACTTTTTTTTTTTTTTTTTTTTCCACTCAGAATCTAAACACATTTCATGTGTTGCTTTGGTTATATTTCTTTTACTCTATTTTAATCTAGGTTACTCTATTTTAATCTATCTTTTTTTATGATAGTAACTCTTTTGAGGAATTCAGGCCAATTGTTTTGTATAACATATCACATTGTGAATTTGTCTGATTGTTCAGTTGCCTCCTGATTAGAATCATGTTAAACATTTTCTTGGCAGGAATGCTAATTAGATGATGTATTGCACTTCCTTACATCAGGAATTAGCTGCTTTATCTTCATTATTATTTTATACCCTTGGAATAGGCTGCACATGGTGGCTCATGCCCACAATCCCAGCACTTTGGGAGGCTGGTATGGGTGGATCACTTGACCTCAGGAGTTCGAGACCAGCCTGGGCAACATGGTGAAACCTCATCTCTACAAACACATTAGCCAGGCATGGTTGCGTGAGCCTGTGGTCCAAACCTGGGTGACAGGGTGAGACCCTGTCTCAAAACAAACAAAAAAACCTTCTTGGAGTAATAATGATAATAAAGACTAGCATTTATTGAAACCTTAATGTTGCCAGACACTTATTAAGAGCTTTATGTGTATTTACTTACTTAATCCTCAAAACAGCGCTTTGAGTCAGGTATCACTATTGGTTTCATTTTATAGATGAAGGACCTGAGGCACAGAGAGATCAGGTAACTTACCCACAGCCATGAGCTATAAGTGATGAATCCAGAATTTGAAATCCCCAATCTGTGCTTTTTTTCATGAGTTTATAATTCCCCTAAGTATCCCTTAAAATTATTACTCATCAAATTACTCTTAAAATTAAGTAAGTAAATTATATTTGAAACATAGAAAATCACTTAAATAACCAAGAGAATGCAGATTAAACCCAATATTCAAGGTTAAAAAGTAAATCAAAGGTAGAGTAATTAATCAATACTTATTTAGAATCATATATAATAGGCTAGCTTTATACTTTTCTCTTTGTTATTACTATTATGAATATGTATCCTGCTATCATGATATTGTGACACTTTGGTTGGACGTTCCTAAGACAGTTTGTGATTAGATTTTGGACCTGATAACCTATCTCTCTTTTTCCCTCCTTTTTATAACTTGTACCAGAAACCCTAGACCCACTTTTCATGGATCCAGACTTGGCATATGGAACTTACACAGGAAGCTGTGGTCATGTAATGCATGCAGTGTGCTGGCAGAAGTAAGTTGTCCTTCTGACATGTTCTTGAAAGAGACTAGGAACATTGAAGTTCACTCAAGGCCACAAAAAGGCATGTTTTCTCATGTCTTCTTTCCTTTTTCTTATTTGAATAATTGAAATGGTTTTAATTACTAATTCTATTTGCATGAATTATTATTATCAAAGTTGGAAGGTGGTGTGTAAAGTTACCAACTTCAGATTTTCATTGTTCCTTTGTGCTTGCTCTCCATAAACTAATCCATTGCTCTTCATCTGTATTCATGTAAAAAAAGTAATAATTGGCCATGTGTGGTGGCTCACGTCTGTAATCCCAACACTTTAGGAGGCTGAGGTGGGCAAAGCCCTGTCTCTACTAAAAATACAAAATTAGCCGAGTGTGGTGGCACATGCTTGTAATCCCAGCTACTTGGGAGGCTGTGGCAGGGGAACTGCTTCAACCCAGGAGGCAGAGTTTGCAGTGAGCTGAGATTGCACCAGTGCACTCCAGTTTGGGTGACAAGTGTGAAACTCAGTCTCAAAAAAATAAATAAATACAATAAATAAATAAATAATAAAAAAGTAATCTTTATAAAAATCTAATTTCCCTCAAAACATACTGCTGTGATAAGTACCTTTGAAATAGAATAGGATGAATAGGAAAAGAAGTTCTCATTCTATATCTGGGAAATATAAAAATTCAATAATGTAATTCCTGAGAAATGTTTTGTTTAGAGTTTACCCATATGACATTAGATTACAATATATAATTTTTCCATGATACCCCTCAATACTTCAGTTCATCATTAGAAACTGAGGAAAGTAGTGTCCACATTGTATCACCATGCTGTTTAGGCAAAAGATAAGTTATGATTCAGTAAACTTATTTTAAATTTATATCTGCTTTGATGTATTTTCCAATTTGTTCCCAAAATAATGGGCAACCTGTTTCTTCTGTACTTACAAGTTGTGTGTTTTTGCGGGTAACTTCTAAAGATGTTTATTGGGGCAAAAATTCCAGATTTTTAAAACTTGGATTAGAGCAAGTAGAGATATACATGTAGAGATGCATGTGTAGTTCTGAATGGGCCTGTGTCTTTGTAATTTTGCAGGTATTTTGAAGCTGTACAGCTGAGCTCTCAGCAGCGCATTCATGTTGACCTTTTTGACTTGGAAAGTGGAGAATATCTTTGCCCTCTTTGCAAATCTCTGTGCAATACGGTGATCCCCATTATTCCTTTGCAACCTCAAAAGTTAAACAGGTATATTTTAATTTAAGTTTTGGTTAATTTTTTAAAAGTTGGCCAGGCTCAGTGGCCTGTGATCCCAGCACTTTGGGAGGCTGAGGTGGGCAGATTGCCAGAGCTCAGGGGTTTGAGACCAGCCTGGGCAACAGGCAACATGGTAAAACCCCATCTCTACAAAAGAATTTTTAAAAAATTTAGCCAGGTATGGTGGCATATACCTGTAGACCCAGTTACTTGAGGGGCTGAGGTGGGAGAGTCACTGGAGCTCAGGAGGCTAAAGCTCCAGTGAGCTGAGATTGAGCCACTGCACTCCAGTGTGGGTGACAGAGCGAGACCCTGTTTCAAAAATAAAAAGTTGTCTTTAGTTCTTTAATTTGTGCCTGTTTTTGTTAGATTACTATTTTTTATTCTTTAAAATAATTAATACTTTTTCATTTTATATCTTGTGTCATACTTTTAAAATGTGATCAAAAGCCTAATTTTTTGCCTCTAAGAGAACTAGAATGTTTATTTACTCAAATCCATACATTGTGATTATATTTTCCAGCAGCCATTAAAGCAATAGAACTCTGACCTCTGTCGTAGCACTCAAAAAAGGAGAAAAGATGCAAAAAGATTCATTCCTTTCATATGGCCCTTTACCATCATTATCGTTGGCAATTTGTTCTTAATAACAGTCTGTCTCAAGTTCCTGCCCTTATGAAAAGTGCATTTTAGAGAGACTGGCAATAAAAGAGTAAGACAGTGTTGAGTATGGAGAAATACTATGAGAAAACTAAAGCAGTAGGTTAAAGGGCTAAAGACAGACCGGGGCATGAGGCTATTTATAGACAGATTTGTCAGGGAGCTCTTCTCTGAGATGGTGACATTTGAACAGGGACCTGAATAAAGTGAGGAATAATCACTACTTTTCTCTGGGAGAAGAAAATTCAAAGTACAGGCTATATCAAGAGCAAAGGCCTCAGGTTTGGAACCCATCATGTTTGAGGCACAGCAAGAAGGCCACACGCTTACTGGAATGGAACAAACAAAGACCAGATCATAAAAGGGATTATGAGCAAAGATTAAAAGTTCTATGATCCCGTTTACATTTTTAGAAAATTCTTCTAGCTGCTATATAGTGAATTCATACTTAGAATGAAACACAAGAGTAGAAGCAGGAAGAACAGTTAGGAGTCTAAGTAATACAAGTGAGGGCTGATGTGATAGGGTAGGGGGTAGTAATAGTAGAGGTAGGAAGAAACGATCAACTTGAGATATATTTAGAAGGTAAAGCCTGCAAGGTTAATTAATGGATTACAATGTTAGTTAATAGATTACAAGACAAAACCTAGTTTTTGACTGGAGCAGCTAGGATGCTTATTCCCTTTACTGACATTTACTACCTGTGGGTGATTGACATGTGGTTGGTTTCTTATTTCTTGTATGTTTAAAATTTCCTTCCCCTTCCAAAAAGCTACATATTTAGACACATGTTTCTGTGACCTAGAAAATTAATCTGGAAGAATTTAACTTTTTTATACAACCATTTATCCACGGAAAGAATACAAATTCAGCTTTTCCTTTTGACTTTGTACCCATGGTTTTAATAATTTTTATTATCATTTTTTCAGTGAGAATGCAGATGTTCTTGCTCAACTTTTGACCCTGGCTCAATGGATTCAGACTGTTCTGGCCAGAATATCAGGTTATAATATAAGACATGCTAAAGGTTTGCTTAAATTTATTTTATATTAGCTATGTGAAGATTGTGTCAGAATTTTTATTTTTAGTAATTATTGTGCTAAAATATGATTTGCAAGTACAGATTTCTTGAATATCAGGAAACAGAAGTTTTTGAAGCTAAGACTAAGTTTGACTTAAATTGCTTTGTTCAACTTAATCATTTTTCATAGTATGAGACAATACAGGTTTGTCTGATTATTCCAAGCTGTTAGACTGCTTAGATTTAAATCTTAGATCCAAGATTCATCTAAATCACTAAGATCCGCTTACTGATTATGTGATCTTGGGCAAGTTACTTAAGCTCTGTGTGCCTCAACTTCTTATTTGCAAATAGGGGATAATAATATTATAATAGTATCTATTTTATTGGTTGAAGAATTAGCAGAGTTATATGTAAATTAGAACAGTCCATGGTACATAGTAAGTACTACATGTTAGCCATCACTATTACTAATATTGTTAATATTTTGTTGGTAATGTTCGTCATAACAAAAACTTTTTAAACTATCATTTACATATTCTTTACAGTTGTGAGACAAATATGGCTATTAATGGAGGTTTGCTTAAAAGGATAAAATGGGAATTTTTAAAATACAGTGAGGAAAAGTTGTCTTTTGTTTAGGCCAATGGCCCCCAACCTTTTTGGCACCACGGACTGATTTTGTGGAGACAGTTTTTCCATGGATGAAGGGGATGATTTGGGGATGATTCAAGTGTATTGCGTTTATTGTGCATTTTATTTCTGTTATTATTACGTTGTAATATATAATGAAATAATTATACAAGTCACCATAATGTAAAATCAGTGGGATCCCTGAGCTTGTTTTCCTGCAACCATATGATCTCATCTCGGGGTCATGGGAGACAGTGACAGATTGTCAGTCATTAGATTCTCATAAGGAGTGGGCAACCTAGATTCCTCACATGCATGGTTCACAATAGAGTTTGCATTCCTATTAGAATCTAATGCTGCTGCTGATCTGACAGGAGGCAGAAGTCACGCGATAATTTGAGTGATGGGAAGTGGCTGTAAATATTGATGGAGCTTTGCTCATCCACTGCTCACCTCCTGCTTTGCAGCGCATTCCCAAGGTTCCCAACAGGCCATAGACCAGGCTTGTCCGTGGACCTGAGATTGAGGACCCCCGGTTTAGGCAGTGAATCAATAGGATGAAGGCAAAGTCCAGTATTTCAAAAATTAGCTTCTCATCCCCTCTTTGGATCTAAAATTGATGCACACTATACCTAGAAAATATTCCAGAATATTTCTATGTATTCTACTCAAAATATTTATGTCTTATTTCTATAATTCATACTTTTGTTTATCCACATTTTTTTCTGATTATTTCAGCCTCTGTTGTGCTTTATGTCCTTTTAGTTACATACTTTTAAGGAAAATGAAGGATATATACAAAAGCTACAGAGGAAAAATAGGGGTGATGGTTTTATTTCTCATCATCATAGTCAGCCTGAGTTACAAAGGTTTTTTTGTTTGTTTTGTGTGTGTGTGTTTTTTTTCTTAAGACAGGTCTCACTCATCACCCAGGCTGGAGTGCAGTGGTACGATGACAGCTCACTGCAGCTTCGACTTCCTGGGCTCAAGTGATCCTCCCACCTCAGCCTCCCAAGTAGCTGGAACCACAAGCTTGCATCACCACACCTGGCTAATTTTTAAATTTTTTGTAGAGACAAGGTCTTGCTATGTGCCCAGACTGGTCTTAAACTCCTGGGCTCAAGCAGTCCTCCTTCCTCAGCCTCCCAAAGTGCCAGAATTATAGGCATGAGCCAATGGACCCGGTCTAAGTTATCAAGTATTTTTATTAAATGTTTAATCATGCATTCAGCACTATACAAATTTTTATGTTCCCTGCCTTGTTGACCTCACATGTGTGCATGCTATGCAGTTAAGAATGATACAAGAGGAAATGCATTAACAGTCAGTTTTTACAGTACAGAACAATAGGACTCATAAGATTTTTAAGAAGGAATTGATCAGTAGGGGCTTAAGTAGTAAGGGAAGATGTCATGGAGAAAAGGAGATTCAGTTTGACCTTGTATCAAATTTGGGTGTATCGTAGGGATAAAGGAGAACCCAGGTAGAAAATAGACATGTTTTTAGGGAAATACGAGCTTGGCATTTTCAGAGACCTTGAAAAAGCCTGGCCTACGTTAGTCAAGGGTATATAGTAGGGAGTAGTAGAGAATATGGGGGCAGTTGTGGAGATTTGTAAGAATTTGGACTTGGTTGTTTAGAAACACAGAATGATGGAAGAAAACAAGTCAGCAATGAATGAGTTTGGCAATGTCCTGTCAGTTTTCCCTCCTTCTTCATTTTTTAACAAAAACTTTTCCACAAGTGGTGCTAATGAGATAACAATCTGTTACGTGAAAAACTCTTCTAACAAAAGACCTTGTATTTGCTAAGAAGTGATTTTTGGCATGTACTTATACTTCGCTACTTGTTCTAAGCACTGAGAAGCAATTCAGTACAAGAGATTCTTCTTTTTTTAAAATAGTGTTTAAAAATGTCTTTGACATATGTGAATTTAGTTTCTTTTTATTTAAAAAAATGTAGATTGACATCTTGATTTTACATCCTGATTTTTAGGTCTCAAATATTCAGCCTTAAGTCAGTTTTCTGTTGTTATTTTGGCCTATAAATATTTCATTGTAGGTCTCAAACATGACATTAAGTAGAAAGATCACTTTATTAGCAGTAGGACTTCTGTGACCATCTAAAGAGTGTAAGAGTGATTAGTATCTTTTAAGCATATTCGACAATTTACTTAGAAGCCTGTATTTTCAAGGGAAGATGATACTGAACATAATCTAAGGAAAAACTATTGAAATAAAGAACTATAAAAAAGAAATCATGGAATAATGAAAAATTTTTGAGCAAGTGACTAGCATTTATTCTGGTAGCTTTTTAGTGTGGGAGTGGTGCTGCAGATAGATTGGAAGAGTGAGGAGATGACTCAAGAAGATTAATCAGGAATCGTTTGCACTGGTCATACCCTGAGATGGTAAGAGGCGGTGGTATTAATAGTAAGCATTGACAAGTTTGCTGTGAATGCTTATCGAATGACTAGTTGTTTGGGGGAAAGAAACAGAGCCTAGAGATTGTAAAGGAAGAATTGCAGAAAATATGTAAGCATTTTTTCTCTATTGCCTACAAATACGGGAAGGTTAGGAGAAAAACAGATAATAAATTCAGTTTCTTTTTATTTTCATCCTGTGTTGTTTTGAACAAAAACATAGTGTAGTGGGAGATTTTGCCAGATCTTTCTAAGACTATGGCTGGGCAAGTCATCCTAAAATAAATAAATAAATAAATAAAGACTTAGAGAATTTTTTAAATTTAACTTGATTTAGTAACATATTCTGTAGAAGTGTGTTCCTGTTGAGAATATATTTTCATCAAATACTCATGGATTTTTTTTAATTTTTGAGACAGCATCTTGCTGTGTTGCCCAGGTTAATCTTGAACTCCTGACCTCAAGTGGTCCTCCCACTGTGGCCTCCCAAAGCGTTTGGATTATAGGTGTGAGCCACTGTGCCCGGCTGTCCATCGATTATTAATAACAGATTGGTTAATAAATTAGACCATGTAAAAATCTCAGTTTTCAAAAAGAGAAATTATGTAGGACACTTATACTATCCACAATACAATAAAATAAAACCTAACAAAAGAGAGCTCAAAAATCTAACAAATTAGGAATTTTAAAATACTATTCCATATAACTATTAAGTGCAAGGAAAAACTAGAGAGAGATGGAGAAATCATCAACTATTTAGCAATTAACAACAATGAGAACAACACAGATCAAAATCCATGGAATATGGCCAAAACCTTACTTAGAAGACAGCTCATAGCCCAAAAAGTTGAGATGGAGTCTCGCTCTGTCCCCCAAGCTGGAGTATAGTAGTGAGATTTCACTGCAGCCTCCACCTCCCAGGTTCAAGTGATTCTCATGCCTCAGCCTCCCATGTAGCTGAGATTACTGTAGTCTGCCACCACACTTGGCTCATTTTTGTATTTTTAGTAGAGACGGGGTCTCACCATGTTGGCCAGGCTGGTTTTGAATTCCTGACCTCAGGTGATCCACCTGCCTTGGCCTCCCAAAGTGCTGGCATGAGCCACTGTGCCTGGCTGGTCATTGTAACTTTTTAAAAAAGACATTTCAAGCCAGTTGCAGTGGCTCACCCCTGCAGTCACAGCACTTTGGGAGGCTGAGGCAGGCAGATCTCTTGGGGCCAGAAGTTCGAGACCAGCTCGGCCAACATGGTGAAACCCCATCTCTACTAAAAATACAAAAATTAGCCAGCCATGGTGGTTCACACCTATAATCCCAGCTACTCAGGATTATAGGCGTTGAGGCAGGAGAATCTAAGGCATGAACCTGGGAGATGGAGGTTGCTGTGAGCTGCGACTGTACCACTGCAGTTTAGCCTGGGCAAGCAAGACACTTTTTTTTTTTTAAAGACATTTCATAACATCCAGTATCTGTTCCTCATATATTCCTGACAAACCTACTTTCACAGGATACAAAACACCAGAACATCTAAAGTCTCTAAAAAGTAGATATAGCAGGCAGATTGGGAAATAAAGTCAAAATTTAAGAATTATCAGTACAGGTAGTGAGTTTTCTGAGGCTTTTTCCTTCTTTATTTCCCAACTTTCACCCAAGAACAGCTGAATCTCAGAACTGTACAACAAGCATGAACAGCAAAAAATCCAAGAGAAATGCCATCTCTTTCTGGTCAGAGGATCAGGAAAAGAAGCCCCTCACAGACAGAGTATAAAAGGAGTGTGTTTATTTTTCCTCTGACCTTTTCCCAAGGCCAGCTTCAGGCATGGAGCTGCACTGCCGTGGTAGCCATGTAGATGCCCATAATCCCAAGAGAAACCCAGTCTCTCTGGTGAGGAACTGGGAAAGGGGGCTCCTGTGTTCTAAAGGGTACAAGGTTAATCTTCATCATTTTTTTCTGTCTTTGCCTCATGGCTTCACCGCAAGGGAATCTCCAGTCATAAATCTTGAATGATCTCATGGGAGACTAAAACTGAAAAAAATGTCATTCTGGCCAGAGGAACTAGGAAAAAGGGCCCTTTGGAGCTAGAAAGTGTGGGGGCCAGGGTGGGAATCTCAAAGAAGAGAGAACTATAGAAGGGGAATCTCATATTTTTGAGACCTGGGCTCACCTCCAAGCTGCACATGTGCAGAATAGGCCAAAAGAGGCATAGCCAAAGTTTTGAGAAGTAATCTGCATTTCAAATGGTTTCATCACTGAAGTCCCAGACTAACCCCCTGAGGAGTACATGTGCTGGGCAGATCAAAACACCACAGCAAAGTCTCTGAAAACTAACTTTGGAATCACCATCCACAGAGGATGAGACAGAACTTGTTAACCTGAGTTTATTGCCTTCTAAAACACTTTAAAACTGTATGTTTTTCCAGAGGTTTTTAACAGGACCAGAACCTCCCAATGTAATATTCCAAATATACAAGATATAATCCAGAATTACTTGACATACAAAGAACCAAAAAATCTGACCAGTTCTCAAGGGAAAAACAACCAAATGCCAGTCCTGAGATGTTTTAAATGTTAAACTTATCAAAGAGTTTTAAAGCAGCTAGATAGCCTTGAAACATAAGGTGAAGATGAACACTCTTTAAAGAGTTGGAAGAAGTTAGCAGAAAAATAGGAACTAAAAAAACCAACTATATGGTGATAATAGAATTGAAAAAATACTGGATGAAATAAAAATTAACTGCATGTGCTTGATAGTAAACTGGAAGGCTGAGCACAGTGGCTCAGGCCTGTAATAAACAGCACTGTGGGAGGCTGAGGCAGGAGGATCACTTGAGGCCAGGAATTCAAGACCAGCCTGGGCAACATAGTGAGACCCCATCTCTTAAAAAAAAAAAAAATTAGCTGGGTGTAGTGTTGTGTGCCTATACAGTAGTCCTAGGTACATGGGAGACTGAGTCAAGAGGATTGCTTGAGCCTAGGAGTTTGAGGTTACAGTGAGCTATAATCATGCCACTACACTCCAGGCTGGGCAACACAGCAAGACTGTGTTGTTTCATCAATATATATACTAGACGGAGATGAGGTAAGGTGTCCATGAATGTGAAATTAGATCAGTGGAAGTGATTCAGTATGGAGAACAGACAGAAAAGAGATGGGGACTCAAAAATAGAACCTTAGGGATCTATGGGATAATCTTTTTTTCAATCCAACATTTGTGTTATAACATTTTTCCCAAAAGGAAGGGAAAATAATGCAGAAAAAAAAATTTGAAGAAATAATTGAAAATTTCCCAAATTTGGAGAAAGTCATACATTTGCAGATTCAAGAAGTTCAGTAAATCTCAAACAGATAAGAAAACCACACTCAGACACATCATAAAGCAAACTTGCTGAAAACAAAAAATAAAGAGCCAGGCACAGTGGTGTGTGCCCCTAGTCCCAGCTACTTGGGAGGCTGAGATTGGGAGGATTGCTTGAACCTTGGAGGTTGAAGCTACAGATCATCATGTACTGCAGCATGGGTGACAGAGTGAGACTGTCAAAAAAAAAATAAAAGTTAGAAAACTGTATGTCAGACTAAACTCATTCATGATTTTTCTTTCCTTTTCCCTTTAATTTGTCAGGAGAAAACCCAATTCCTGTTTTCTTTAATCAAGGAACGGGAGATTCTGCTTTTGAATTCCATTCCATCCTGAATTTTGGAGTTCAGTCTTTGTAAGTATCTAAATAGTTAAGAGAGAACTTTGTAAAAGATTGTGAAAATAAAAATAGGAAACAGTGTAGGCTTCCATCTTTCCTTCCTTTTATATTTATAAAATAGTTTATCCCATTATCTTGTTTCTTTCTCTTGTTTTTTTATTTGTATTAATAAAATGAAGTGGTTTGATATATTAAGTAATATATATTAAGATGAACTGTGCCTCTGAGTAACCATTTTTAACCAACAAAATGCTAACTCTCTGTGGTCCAACCTACAAGAGGACCGGAATTAAGAGACATCATTTAAAATTACATCTGACTTGCTTTGTGACTTTCTGAAAGGTCTCAGGTCACTCCACCCCCACCACCAGTTCATTTTTTGTATATGTAAAATTGATGCAGTGGCCTTCTCTCCTACCTCATTAGGTTATTGGAGAGATATGATGTACCCAAATCAGGTATTATTATTTCATTAATACTGAGTATCCAGAGTAGTTTTTCTAGTTGTGATCCTTGTTTATCTATCCCATTGCTACTGAAAATACTCATTACAAATGGAGATTCAGAAAACCAGATAGTATCACTCCAAATACATGGTATTATCACACATACATACAACACAAACATGTACACATACCTATTAATACAAAAGTACTTTGGTTCCTTTTCCAGGCACCAAAACTTGTTAGGTCAGATCTGTTCCTCTGGATTTTATTCCTTCTGTATTCATTCTGTTTTTTAATTAGTACCTGAATCCCTTCTAGCTGTGAGCATCTATTGCATCTTTTACAGGAAGTGAAGTTATGTGGGTCATTACCATTTTATAAGAGCTATTTCGCTACCTTTAGAAAATACAGTTCTGCTCTACGAATTTTTTTCCAACTGAAGAAATCTTTGTAGAAGTTAATCTCTAATTTGGCAAAGAGCAGTTTACTTGTGTTGAAAGCAGTTAAATTGTTTCTACTACTTCAGGACTTAATTGGACTTCTTACTAAGTAGCTCTTTCTACTAAATCATACAAATTTTTTTTGTTTTATATATAGGGTTAAATATTCTAATAGCATCAAGGACATGGTTATTCTCTTTGCCACAACAATTTATAGAATTGGATTGAAAGTGCCTCCTGATGAAACGGATCCTCGAGTTCCCATGCTGACCTGGAGCACCTGTGCTTTCACCACCCAGGCAATTGGTAAAGCTCCTAAGAAGACTGGTTTGGACATTTCAGTGAGGTAGAATTAACACTGATCGTTCAAGACAGAATTAACACCGATCGTTCATTCTTAAATTCTTTTTTTCCCGGATGGACCAGAATAATTTGACTTGTATGAGGACTATTAGTATTTTAGTGTATTAGTGTGGCTCATGCCATTGGGTCTGATAATTTTTTTTATATCGATTTCTTTTTAACTGTGATCATGGCCATATGCAACATAAGTTAAAATAATATTTTAAAGGAGTTAGGTGCAGTGGCTCACTCCTGGGAGGTTGATGTTTGGGAGACGCTAAGGTGGGAGGATAACTTGAGGTCAGGATTTTGAGACTAGCTTGGGCAACATAACAAGACTGTCTCTCAAAAAAAGTTAGTCAGGCATGGTGGTATGTACCTGTAATCCTAGCTACTCAGGAAGCTGAAATGGGAGGATCATTTGAGCCCAGGAGTTGAGGTTGCACCACTGCCCTCTAGCCTGGGCAACAGAGTGAGACCCTGTTTCTAAAAGTGTGTGTGTGCCACCTAAAAATTAACAGGGGAAAGGAAAACTGAGGCAGTTTAAGATTAGCAGGTAGAAACCAGCTCTAAAGGGAAGCCTACTGTCAAATTGTCTGCCATATTGAAAATGTCCCATAGAAAAATGTAGCAGCGAGGGATCACTTAGATTTTTTAAATTAGTGCATTTGTTCATTATAGGGACAAGGTCCAATATTACATGGAAAAAATTAAGAATGGTGATTCTTCCCTATCTTTATCCAAGCCAACTTTGATTTCCCTTTCATATATATATATATATACATATGGTAATTGTTTTTAATGGAGTCTATTATATTTTCTTCATTCAAATATATTTTTGTAACAAGACACTTGTATTTCATAATTTGAATTAAGTAGCATGAAGTCACATTTTTCCCAAAGCCTTCCTACATACTATCATTAATTTCTCAATAGAGTTTAAGAGTTACTTCCAGTGCCTTGGTGAGGGCAGATTCTGGGCCACGGGCACCTGCCCTGAGTGGACCATGCACTGGTGCCCTCAGAGGGCTCCTATGGGTAGGTTCATTGGCCTGAGCCCAGTGAGCCTCCACGTACATTGACCTTAGGCCCATAGAGAGGGCCCATCCTGTCTCTGCCCCAGCCAGGATCTGGTCACTGCCCCAAGGGGACTGATGGGCAGAGTCGCCCCTGTGCCTGGGCCGTGACCATCCCTGATGGGGCCAGAGTTTGGGTAGGCGTCTTGGGCTGAGCCCGGCACCATGCAGGGGCTGTTGGAGCTGAGGAAACGCCGCTCCCTGAGCCGGGGTCGCTGCTCCACCCTGTGCCCTCCAAGGACTCCCACAGGGACAGGGGGCTGGCGGCTTCCTGCTTCTCCCTGTCAGAGTCAAAGCACAAATCCTCAGGGCGGGCTCAGGGGTAGGGGCAGCCCGGGGAAGCTCTGGGTGGGGGCTGTGTCTTCCTGGGGTTGGTGCCTTCTGGGCAGGACACTTTGCTGGCCCAAGGTCCCCAGGTGCTGCAGTGGGGTGGCCTCCTCTCTGTCTGCCTGGTGGAGGGAGCTGTGGGGGTGGGGACAAGACTGAATAAAGCTACCATGGATGGATGTGCTTGAGGGGGAAAAAAGTCACTTTCAAACCTGGTAGACTTAAATCATGGGTATAATGTAATACAACACTTTATATTTGCTGTGATTCAATCAAATGGGAAATAGGAAAGATGAGGTTTATATAGGACAGAATCTGAACAAATTGATAACAAATATAAAGCATTTTTTCAGAATCATGACCTGCTAAGTCTCTTCAGACTTTCAGTGAAGCTATTTCACACTTTACTATTTTGGGGAAGATAAACATTAGGAGATCAAGAATTTATATTTAGACCTTGATCGTTAAAGAGAGGGCAGAGTCTTCTATAAAAAGATAAGAAATTTACTGCTGAATCTTTTCATATGTGGTTCTATAATAATTGGATTCTGTTTGATTAATAACATATTGTGTTCACTATTGGGGGTTTTCCATCAAGCAGGCTTAATGCTGTACTTTACTCTTAGTGCCTAAGCAGCTAACTTATCTCAATCCCTGTGGGGATGGAGAGACATGTACAGAATGTACTGGCATAGGATAATAGTTGAGGAATCAAAACAAAGCATCCTTTGAATTGCTGTTTATGCAAAGATGAAAAAAATGCTTCCACACTCATATTGGCTGCTAAGGATCAGTGAAAATAAGAGTAATTTAGCAATAAATACCATGGACAACAAACCACAAATCTATGGTTTTGGTATTTCCTTTTTTTTTTCTCTCTCTTTTTTTTTTTGAGACAGGGTCTCACTTTGTTGTCCAGGCTGGAGTGCAGTGATGCAGTCATGGCTCACTGAAGCCTTAGCCTCCTCAGACTCAAGTGATCCTCCCACCTCAGCCCCCTGAGCAAATGACACCACAGGCATGCACCACCACGCCCAGCTAACTTTTGTATTTTTTGTGGAGACAGAGTTTCACCATGTTGCCCAGTGTGGTCTTGAACTTCCAAGCTCAAGCAGTCCTCTTGCCTCGGCCCCCCGAAATATGGGGATTACAGGCATGAGCCACCACACCCAGCCTCATTTTCTTTTTCCCTATTCATCTTTTCTAAATCTTTTAAAACTGTACCCAAGGCCGGGCCAGGTGCAGTGGCTCATACCTGTAATCCTAGCACTTTGGGATGCCGAGGTGGGCAAGTCAGCTGAGGTCAGGAGTTCGAGACCAGCCTGGCTAATGTGGTGAAACCCCCATTTCTACTAAAACTAGAAAAACTTAGCTGGGCATGGTGGCACGCACCTGTAAAATCACAGCTTCTCAGGAGGCTGAGACAGAATCACTTGAACCTGGGAGGTGGAGGTTGCAGTGAGCCAAGAACATGCCATTGTACTCCAGCCTGGGCAACAAGAGCAAAAAAAAAGCACCCAAAGGAACAATAAAGTCATTTGCATCTGCCTTACTTATTATTTTTAAATAAAATAGGCTATAATTACATATATAAATTACTTACTTTAGAATTTTTTGCATTAAGAAAGATGCTGAAATGAGAAGAAACAATCCAGGCTGCTTTGTTTTTCCCAAGCATTCTTTATAAGACTGCTGCAGGGACTTTATTTTTTATGCCAGTAATTTGTAAATGATCTACATTTACTTTTAATATTCTCTCACTCAAAAGTTGGAAAATTTTGGCATAGACTTAAAACACAAGACTTTGGAGGGGAAAAATGCAAATCATCTCATAAAAAATACAATTAAAGAACATTTGATAAAAAGTACGGCAGATAATTACAGCACTATTTAGGACTTATTATTTTTATGTTTTTTTATTATTTGAGAAAACCTATTGGGAGATGAAGGAAAACCTCTGTTCGGAGCACTTCAAAATAGGCAGGTATGTATACTCCAACAAGGTAAGGTACATGTAACTTACAGCATGCCTTTTTCTGTCCCCCGCCCCCAAAGTTTACTATTAAAAAAAAAAAAAAAGTCTTTACTCCTTTTCTGGAAAAAATAGCAGAATTCTGTAGTGGGAAAAAAGGAGCTGCATCAGTCTCATAGAAAACTGAATAATAGCGTGTGCACTTTATAGAGCTTACTCAATCTCGGAGGTTAAGTGTAATTCACACAGAGATTTTAGGTGATGATTACTTTTTCTCCCTTTTTTGTTTGTTACACTTCAAAATCCTGGTGTTTCCTGTATTTTTCCTTCTCACTAATTTTGCACCATTATATAACATTGAGTATTAATGCTGGCTTAGCTCTGAATGAATCATCATACTGAATTCAAGAATAAAATTAAGCCATGACTCCTTGATGGGCAGATACTGACACTACTGTAGGACTCTACTCCTGCCCCAAGCCTAAACCTCATAACGTAGTGTTCCCTGGAAAACAGTACTCAAGAAATGTGTTCAGCAGCCCTATGAACACAAAAGGGGTAACAGAGGTTGCCATCCCTTCCTTGCCATTTCCCTGTTGTTTTTCTGACAGCTGGCACAGAAGACTATAAAACTTGTGGTCCACAGTGTGCTGAGCTCTGGGGAAAATGAATACTCTTTACAGGAGAATTAAAATAATGATAGCTTTAATACCTCTTTTTCATGAGAAAATCTGTTAGAAATGTAACAAGGTCATAAAACCTTGTGCAGGTATTAAGAATATTGTAATTTATTTGCGATGATACAAGGTATATAATGAATCTGCAACTAATTCTAACAAACTAGAGTTGGTTTTTAGCAACTCTTAAGTGAATGACTTATGTATGTCTTCTTTTCCTCATGTTTTTATCTTCCCTCTCTTACAATCTAGCATAATGGTCTGAAAGCATTAATGCAGTTTGCAGTTGCACAGCGGATTACCTGTCCTCAGGTCCTGATACAAAAACATCTGGTTCGTCTTCTATCAGGTAGTCTTCTCTGAACTATTACTATGTATTTTGTATATGTCTTTATTGTATTTCTGGCAGTGTATTTCATTAGGAAACAACACACACTGCACTAATTTTGAGCACTCACTAATGAAATTTTACCACCTACAGAAGCTGTGCAAGAAAACAGATAAACAAATAACTTCCTCTGTAAATCTTGTGATCTTACTATTATTTTTGAGAGGGAGTTTTGCCCTTGTTTCCAAGGCTAGAAAGCAGTGGCGTGATCTTGGCTCACTGCAGCCTCCACCTCCCGGGTTCAAGTGATTCTCCTGCCTCAGCCCTGAGTAGCTGGGATTACAGGCACCCACAACAATGCCTAGCCAATTATTTATTTATTTATTTATTTTTTGTAGAGATGGGGTTTCACTATGTTGGCCATGCTGGTCTTGAACTGGTGACCTCCGGTGATTCGCCTGGCTCGGCATCCCAAAGTGCTAGGATTACAGGCGTGAGCCACTGTTCCCAGCCTTTGTGATCTTATTTTTAAAATCTGTATTTTCCAAATATTTTCAACTTACATTTCTTCTACCTTCCTAGGTTATTGAACCAATATCTACAACCTTGACATCCATGTATCCCCAATCCAGTTAGAAAAGGGAGCAATGATGTGAATAGATCATTTAAAAATATGTTTAATTTTGTTTGTGAGTCAAGTTCATATGAAATAATGGAAATGTTACATTCAGTAATCTCAGAAGTCAGTTTCATCCCCATTTCTTTGAGAGGCTGGCTATAACAGCTAATCTTCTCAGATTCTAACAAGTTAGAAATTTACTAAGCGGTCATATGGTGGTCTCAATTAGTATAAAAATAGAAAGAAGGATATGTCATTACACAGCATTAGAATGACTTTGCTTTCCTTTTGGCTATCTGCATTTCCATCTGGGCATTTGAAGTCTACTATAAGCTCCTTTGCACCCAAACAGACGAGCCTTAAAGAGAGTTGTTAGTAAATCTGTTCCTAAGTCCCAAAATGCCGTGAGTACGGTAGTTTCAGCTTGCACTTCCAAGATATATTTCTACCAAATAAGAGTTATTCAGATTTTTAAAGCCAGGCTTAATTTTCTTGTAGCTAAACTAACAGACATTTTTTTTTCCAGCAAAATAGACTTACTTCTTTACCCTGAAAATCTATTGAAGCCAATAGCGTTTTTCTTTGTTAATCCCCACAGGCTTCTTAGGGAGCTCTTCCTGAGCAGCTTTCTGCTCATCCTGTTGATGTGGAGATGCCACAGCTCCACCCAAGGCTGCCACTCGAGTTTCATTAGAACTTCTGCCATCCTTAGCTTTTGTATTTTCAAATTAACTTTGAGATGTCTCCTGAATTGTGTTCATGGTAATAGAAATCTAATGTTGATGCTGTTCCCCTAGTCACACACTTAAAAGTTTTGCCTTCTTTCACTTACTTTTTTCTCTTGTTGGTCATTTGGAAAGGCCCAGAACCTTCCATGTGTCACATGTGTTTGTCTTTGTTTTTAAGACCTCTTTCTGTTGAACAGTTTATCCTATTTGCATATCACTATTTTGTTTTTATTTTTTGGTATCTTTTTCATTTCAGTCATAATTTAGATATTTACTAATTCTTCCAAATAGTTTCACTGCTTTTGTACTTATTACACATTATGGGATTTACAGTGTTTAAAACAGCTTGTTGCTCAGCATGGTGGTACACACCTATAAGCCTAACTACTCAGGAGCCTGAGGTGGGGGGGATCCCTTAAGCCCAAGAGTTTGACACCAGCATAGGCAGTATAGCAAGACCTTGTCTCAAAGAAAACACTAAACAGGAGACTTAATATCATCACAGATGGCAGAGACTAAAATGGTAGTGTATAATCTCTAATTAGCAATACTGGAAGAATTTATGTAATATAGCTTTATACCTGTATGTGAAAGTTTTTCATATGAAAATTTATTAGAGGAACATTTTTATTTGTAAGATGTTAGGGCTTTCAGATATGTTCCTTGCCATTTTAATGCTTATAATTGAATTAAAGAAGCAGAACCTCTGTAAAAACAAACATTATAGTGGTGGAGGTGAGGAAAAAGAAAAAAAAATTATAAAAAGCCAAATGCCAGATATGTGCTTCACAAATACACACTTCAAAAATTGAGACAAGGAAGAAATCACTTTGGGGCTCTGCCGTTGTCTCCTCTAACAGGGTAGGATTTGAATTGAACCTTGAAGGGAGTATACATAGTAGATAAATTGAGAGGAACAGAGGCTGCATTCCAAAAGGCACAGGGCACATTTGAACAAAGATTGAGGAGGTAGGAAAGTGTGTGATATGTTCAAGAAGACAGGTTTGATGGGAGTAGTGGCATCTATAGATAGAGAAGCATGAGGTTTTTAAAATAAAATTACAGTGTCTTAAATGCTGCAGCCATAAGTTTGGACTTTATTCTTTAGGTAATTGGAATTTTTTTTTGAAAAGTTTTGTACAGTGGTATTCTGAGGTCAGTTTGATATTGAATAGGTTAGATTGAAGGAGGGAAAAATTAGAGGTAATATATGCATCTGGATATGGTGGCAGGAATTAGGGAAGACATTGGGATGGGCTGGGTCAGGGGCAAGATTTTGAACTAAAAAGAATAGTAGAAAATTTGAGAGAAATAAGAAAGTCCAGAATAGGAGCTATTTTCTATGTAAGTTATGAGTATTGTTTTAATATGTTGATTTCTGCTAGCAGTAGACAGGCTGGGTGCAGTAGCTCACACCTGTAATCCCAGAACTTGAAGAGGCCAAGGTGTGCAGATAATTTGAGCTCAGGAGTTTGAGACCAGCTAAGCAGCATAGTGAAACCCTGTCTCTACAAAAAACTTAGCCAGGTGTGGTATTACGTACCCGTAGTTTGGCTACTCAAGAGGCTGAGTCAGGAATATCACTTGTACCCAGAAAGCTGAGGTTGCAGTAAACCATGATCATGCTACTATACTTCAGCCTGGGCAACAGAGAGACCTTGTCTCTAAATAGATGGATGGATGGGTGGGTGGATGGATGGATGGATGGGGACAGGACATAGGATCCTCACTGCCATGTGCTATGCATTGTACTAGAATTTTTTAATAAAATCTAATTTCTTCCAGTCACCATCCTTCAAGGAAATTATCATTCTCTCCATTTACAGTGAGAAAACTGAGGCACAGGAAAATTATATGACTTGCCCATGATAATAAAACCAATAAGAAGTAGAAATAATATTTAAACCCTGGCCTGACCACAAAGTCCCTGCTTTTCCCACTATATCATGTAAACTTTACTGAGGTGTTTAATTGTGCATAAAGGGTTGGTTTAACCGATAGATAAAATGAAAATATGCATGCCAAAATTTACTTTTGATTTCAAAAGAATTTAAAAATAAGTATTTTTAGCAACCAGGAAAATAAAAATTATTATAAAACTACCTGTAAGAAAAATATGATGACACAAAGAGCCTGGCCAATGTGGTGAAACCCCATTTCTACTAAAAATACAAAACAAATTAGCTGGGCATGGTGGTGGGTGCCTATAATCCCAGCTACTCGGGAGGCTGAGGCAGGAGGATTGCCTGAACCCAGGAGGCAGAGGTTGCAGTGAGCTGAGATCGCACCACTGCACTCCAACCTGGGAGACAGAGGGAGACTCCATCTCAAGATAAATTTTTAAAAATACATAAATAATACATTAATATATTCTTTAAGTTATTTTTTTATTATTTATTATTATTATTTTTTAGTAGAAACAGGATTTCACCATATTGGCCAGGCTGGTTTTGAACTTCTGACCTTGTGATCCGGCTGCCTTGGCCCCCCAAAGTGCTTGGATTACAGGTATGAGCCTCAGCACCTGGCCTAATTTCTGTATTTTTAGTAGAGACTGGGTTTCACCATCTTGGTCAGGCTGGTCTTGAACTCCTGCCCGCAGGTGATCCACCCGCCCCAGCTTCCCAAAGTGCTGGAATCACAGGTGTGAGCCACCGTGCTCGGCCAATAATACATTAATATGTTAATGAACCTACCAGCAGCCTTGTATATACTGCTGTAAACTTACAGAAGTTAAGTCACCTGTCACTTGCCTATGACCAATAGTCACAGCCAGTACTGGAATCCGTTTTAGTCTGACTTCAAAGCCCCTGATCTTAACCTTTATGCTTTTTGCTTAGAACCTTGGATTTGAAGTTAAGAAATCAACCTGGTCTCGGGCTGGGCGCAGTGGCTCACGCCTGTAATCCCAGTACTTTGGGAGGCCGAGGTGGGTGGATCACCAGGTCAAGAGATCGAGACCATCCTGGTCAACACGGTGAAACCCCGTCTCTACTAAAACTACAAAATATTAGCTGGGCATGGTGGCGCGTGCCTGTAATCCCAGCTACTCAGGAGGCTGAGGCAGGAGAATTGCCTGAACCGAGGAGGCGGAGGTTGCGGTGAGCCGAGATCGCGCCATTGCACTCCAGCCTGGGTAACATGAGTGAAACTCCGTCTCAAAAAAAAAAGAAATCAACCTAGTCTCATGGCCAGGCTCGGTGGCTCACACCTGTAATCCCAGCACTTTGGGAGGCCAAGGCGGGTGGATCACCTGAGGTCAGAAATTCAAGACCAGCCTGGTCAACATTGTAAAACCCTCACTATACTTAAAAAACATACAAAAAGTCAGCTGGGTGTGGTGGCATGTGTCTGTAATCCCAGCAACTCTGCAGGTTGAGACATGAGAATCACTTGAACCGGGAGGTGGAGGTTGCAGTGAGCTGGCATCATGCCACTGCACCCCATCCTGGGTGACAGAGTGAGACTCTGTCTCAAAAAAAAAGAAATTGACCTAGTCTGAAAAGAGGCTTCTCTTCCTCATTTTTAAAAATAACTGCTTTATAAATTGGGTGCGGTGGCTTACACCTGTAATCCCATCACTTTGGGAGGCTGAGGCGGGCGGATCATGAGGTGAAGAGATTGAGACTATCCTGGCCAACATGGTGAAACCCTGTCTCTACTAAAAATACAAAAATTATCTGGGCATGGTGGTGTGCACCTATAGTCCCAGCTACTCGGGAGGCTGAGGCAGGAGAATCACTTGAATCTAGTAAGCCAAGATCACGACACTGGGAGAGATCTGGCGACAGAAGGAGACGCCATCTCACAAATAAATAAATAAAAATAGAAATAACAGCTTTATTTAGATGCAATTAATTACCTCATTTTTATATAACAAAACCGTTTCTCTTATTAATTTCACTTCTTTGCCACCCTTGCTCCCACTTCTGGAATTACTGTTTTCTTTAGACATGGACAAGATTAGAAAGATGATAGCTTTTGAGCCATCTGCATTTCCTCCAGATGATCAACCTACATAAACCATTATCCAATTTTTTTCAAGAGGATCTTCTCCATCCTCATTTCACCTATTCTGCTTTGCATGTTCTTCCCACCCCACAACCCCAATTTTGTCAGTATATTATGTATCACAGAACATTTAGAAAGGTATAGTCAGAGAAAAGTGATAAGAGGGAACATTGTATAAAAGTAACCCTTCTCATTCATTCAACAAATGTTTCTTTTTCTTTTATTCTTTTTTTTTTTTTTTTTTTTTTTTTTTTTTTTTTTTTTTTGAGATGGAGTCTCGCTCTTTGGCCAGGCTAGAGCACAGTGGCGTGATCTTGACTCACTGCAGTTTCCACCTCCTTGGTTCAAGCGATTCTTCTGCCTTAGCATCCTGAGTAGCTGGTACTACAGGCATAAGCCACCATGCCCAGCTAATTTTTGTATTTTTAGTAGAGACAGGGTTTTACCATGTTGGCCAGGATGGTCTCAATCTCTTGACGTTGCGTTCTGCCTGCCTTGGCCTCACAAATCACTGGGATTACAGGCATGAACCACTGCGCCCGGCCTCAACAAATGTTTCTTAAACAATCTCTGTATTTTAGTTATCCTAGTTCATGTGCCATTTCCTCCTAAGTTTTACCTTTTAACCCTTAAATTCTATCCAGGGCTTTCTAGCAGGCTTTTCTCAGTTCAGTTTGTCTCTCATTATGGTTTCCATATCTCAATGGTGTGATGTATTAGTTTCTGTATTTTATAATCCTGTTATACATTTGGTTTAGGTGTTTTTAGTTTGCATTTTATTTAACTACATTGCTCTCTTACTGACTCAATTATATTAACTTTTTGTTTGTTTTAGTTGTTCTTCCTAACCTAAAATCAGAAGATACACCATGCCTTCTATCTATAGATCTGTTTCACGTTTTGGTAAGTGTTCAGTAATTTTGTTTAAATCCCTCATGTTGATAATTTCGTGTGTTTTCCTCATTCATGCCCTTTGTTCAAGATTATAAATTATTGGCGTTTAATCTATAAAGTTTGATCTCTCCTGTCCATTCTGTTTACCATCAGTTTGTAATAGGTCTTGTTCTGGTTGATTACATTAACGGGTATCTGTACAGGCATGCCTTTTCTAATTCATATTATGCTTCCCCTTTCGCCTTTTTCTTAAGTTGTATATATGATATACAGTCAATGACTGTATGAGCTCTCTTAAAATCATTAATTATTTGGTGATAGTGACCAGACCATGGGTGTATCTAGGCTTCCCCAAACACCTGTGGATGGATGGCAACTGCCCTTAGGTTTTTTGCAGAGACTTTTCCATCCCTGTGATGATCTCATTCCTTCAAACCAAGTTTTGTAGAGAAAGCAGTATGGGGATTGGGAGCATGGAGTTTTTGGATGCAGGATTAGCCAGCATCCTCATCCCTCATTCTCTAGGCCTCTGCCTAGTGGTTGTCAACCCTGAGGGTCTTTTGGAATCTCCTGGGGAACTTTGAAAAGAATGCCATTAAAGAATGCCCTACCCCAAGAGATTCTCATTTGGTTGGATTAGGCTAGGTCCTTTGTATCAGTATTGTTTTAAGTACTCCTGTAATGTTGAATATTGTGAACCAGAGTTCAGAACCACTACTTAGACCTACAATAAATAGATACAGCAAATGAATAACCTGTTTGGTGGTGACCATCATCCTCCATTTATGGTACATTATATTCTAATATATTCTATTGAATAAGAAAAATATGGCATTTGTTAAAAGACACACACACACAAACACACTGTAGCATGTGGTGCCCTTCACATTTAGTTATGACATTAATTTATGTTAGTCTTTTATCGTTACCTATGTTAATATTCATTTTTCTCTCATAGGTGGGGGCTGTGTTAGCATTCCCATCCTTGTATTGGGATGACACTGTTGATCTGCAGCCTTCTTCAGTTAGTTCTTCCTATAACCACCTTTATCTCTTCCATTTGATCACCATGGCACACATGCTTCAGATACTACTTACAATAGACACAGGTAAAGTTTTCATCGGGATGTTAACTGTGAATAACATTTTGCCGTACTTTACTGGCATAATTAATTATGCTTGTGATTATATTATGTATTTCTAGGTTCCATGTTATATTTTTTATTGAATGATTATTCATCTGGTTTTTTTTATGACTAGTATTTAAGCAAGGAAAGTAGAATAAGCTGTGAAAAAGATAATTAGCTGAAACTACCTGATTCTTTGATTAGCAGCTACTCTGCAGATAGGCAGGAAGATCACTTCGACTTGCTTTTCTCTCTTTTTCAAATTTCCCATCCTCAAAGTCTGTCCCTATATGAGTTTTTTCAGCCTTCTGATAAGGAGGTCCCTGAAACCATTCTTAATTCCTTCAGCTGGAATAGTACTTTGTTCCCCTTGCAACATTTGTCATTAGTATCTTGTTTTGTAGTTATTTGTGGTTATGTCTTACTGTTGTCCTCCTCCTTTCCCTGGTTCTGTTCTCCCTCTGCTCCTTTGTCCTCAGTGTAAGTTTCTTGATGATAGGAAACAATGAAATTTCAGCATTTTCCCTCTAAAGCTGCAAGTATCTAGTAACCTTTGTTAAACCCTGTAAGCACTCATGAAATGTCTTTTGAGTCAGTTGAAGATACATGAGTAATACAACATTATGGAATGATGATGACAGTTGTTCTTTTAGAGTCTGGTTTTTAATAGGAAGCAAAGTCTGGGGTCTGAATGCAGTGGTTCATGCCTGTAATCCCAGTACTTTGGGAGGCCAAGGCAGGAAGATCACTCAAGCTCAGGAGTTTGAGACCAGCCTGCGCAAATTGGCGAGACCCCCATCTCTACAATTTTTTTTTTTTTAAATTAGCTGAGCGTGCTAGTGTGTGCCTGTAGTCCCAGCTACTTGAGAGGCTGAGGTGGGAGAATCACTTGAGCCCAGGAGCTTGAGGCTGCAGAGAGCTGTGACTGCACCACTGCACTCCAACCTGGGCAACAGAGCAAGATGTCATCTCTTAAAAGTAGAAGGGAAAAAAAATACCAGAGCAAAATCTGATTGTGGGTTTTAGTGACTGATAAAGTAAGGGCCACTGAAGGTTCATATAATTTAGAGGACAAACATAATTAAAGTGATGTCAGAATAAAATATGGCAAAATTACATGTATGTTTAACCTGTGGCACACCAACTCCATTTCTAGGAATCTATCCCAAAGTTTTACTGGCAAAAATATGAAATGATACAAGCATGACATTATTTATTGTGATATTATTTGGGATATCAAAAAAAAAACCCAGAAACAATTTAGCTGTCCATCAGTGGGGATTCATTGAATAACCTATGATGTACCATATAATGGAATTCCATGCAGTTTTAAAAAGGAATGAACAAGATCTGATATGAATTGATCTCCATGATACAATAAGTTAAAAAAGCAAGGTACAGAATAATGGTTATCATATAGCATTTTTGTGTAAGGTATCTTGTGTGTGTGTGTGTGTGTGTGTGT